CTGTGTATGAAGAAGAGCAGCATGAAAATTGTGTCAAATGTTATCTTTTCTGTTCCACAGAGGAAAAACAGTGGAAACAAGAGTGAGGGCAAGATTATTTTTGGATGTTTTTATCACGTCAACAGATTTCCTGTTGTGACAGCACAGAGTTAGTTCAGGTGCGCTCTTGGCAGCGCTTCTATTAGCCCTGTAGGCGTCACCGGGTCGGATCTCAGGACCAGGCGATCTTCAGCATCTCGTCCACATCCAGAAGTTTTTCCCGGGCTTTTCCCTGGGATTTGCCTCTTTTCTCCTCCTCTGCATTAATTTTCTCCCATTGTGAAAAAAGCACCGTTCTCACACCTGTTGACACACAAGACCCAATAATAAAATTTTGTTTTCACTTTAAAATCTGATGTATGTATGTATTTATTTAGATTTTTTCTTTTCTTATAAGAATCAGCTTAGAATCTTGGAACAAAATCCATTCCATGACAAAGCATGGCTTTCATCAAAATTGTATTCCAAACCTCCTCTGACTGTGGTTCAAACCCAATATAATGCAATAATCCAGAGAAACATGCATGTGCAAAACAGATGTTTAAAGACCGAATCAGCAGAAAAAGCAGCAGAGTGAATGCTTTTGACCAAACCAAGTGAATGTTCATCGCAGGCAGCATTATAATGAATCACAGATGCGTGTCTCAACGTAAAGTTTTTCCAAGGTGGAGTAGCTAGTATAATAAAGCTTCTTTCTAAGAACTTTCTTTCTAAGAATTTATAAGAATCAAGGTCTAAGGAAGCATTACACATATCCCTCACGTAACAGACAATCCTAGAATGCATTGAAGTGAGCTCAGAGAAACAGATGCATACAAACTGGAGGATGAGAGAAATATCAATGAAGAACTGAGATTTTGCCTGGAGATGAGCCTTGGTGAAATAACTATAATTCATATCTACAGCTGAATAATAGCCATGTTAATTTTATTTAAAATTAATGTAAAAATGCCTTCAATCGACATCAAGTGCCATTCTAAAATAATAAAAACATCCAAATTAAAATAAAACAAAAAAACTACAATTTGTATTAATGCATTAATGCTATTTTTTATTAATAAATTTTTGTTAAAGTTTTGATAAAGTTTTTTAAAATATAAAGCTATAATTTGTATTAATGCAATAATGTATTAATTATATTCACTGTTTGGTTTTAATTAATCATTAATGAATTAGTAATATTATTTTTATTCATTTTATTTATTAATGTAAACATGCCTTCTATCAGCATTTTACTGCCATGCTAAAGTAACAAAAACATTAACATTAAAATATGAACAATCTACAATTTGTATTAATGCATTAATGTATTCACTGTATTTTCCTTCATCGTATAAATGCCTTTGCTCAGCATTTTAGTGCCATGTTAAAAATAATGAAAATGTTATAATTAAAATAAACTATGATTTGTAGTAATGCATTTGCTCATAATATTGTGACATTTTTCTTGCAATATTTCACACAATATTATGCCTTTAATCTGCAACGTCATAATGTCAGAATATTATCCTCAAAACATTAAGATTTATTCTTACAATGTTACAAACTTTTCCTCAGAATCTTGTATTTTTTTGGTAATTGATTATTGTAATGTGGTAACTACAATGCAATCATACATATCTGATGCTGCTTGAATATACTTCATATTTTTTGCTATTTGATACTTAGGAACTTAAATGACTATTTTACCATATAAATAGATAAAAAGCATTAAAGTGTACTTATGGCACACTCTATCGATAACAATGAGTCCTGTTATGAGCCTCATTTGTATGCTGACGTTGCTCTTAATCAGTTATATATGTGAACCTGGAGCACAAAAGCAGTCTTAAGTCGGTGGGGTATATTTGTAGCAATAGCCAACAATACATTGTATGGGTCAAAATTATTCATTTCTCTTTTATGCCAAAAATCATTAGGATATTATGTAAAGATCATGTTCCATGAAGATATTTTTTAAATTTCCTACTGTAAATATATTAAAACTTCATTTTTGATTAGTAATATGCATTGCTAAGAACTTCATTTGGACAACTTTAAAGATGATTTTCTCAATATTTTGATTTTTTTGCATCCTCAGATTCCAGATTTCCAGATAGTTGTATCTCGGCCAAATATTGTCCTATCATAACAAACCATACATCAATGGAAAGCTTATTATTCAGCTTTCAGATGATGTATAAATCTCAATTTCAAAAAATGTACCCTTATGACTGGTTTTGTGGTCCAGGGTCACATATTAGGCTGACTTTAGTAAGGACGATGCAGTCTCGGGGGTTTTGGTATCTAGCGTGTCTGACCTCGTGTTTGCAGAAGGGCAGTGATCGCTTGAGCGCCCGGTTTGTTGACTGACAGATCCAGCTTGCCCGCCTCCATATCCTGAATCAAAACGTGTGCCGTATCGAAACTGTCGTTCATGGTGGTTGCAATCACACCGGTAGGTCCGCGTTTGACCCAGCCGCTGCAGTACAGACCTGCCCAAACATTAACACAAACAATTACAAATATAGGTGGGAGGTGAATGAAGTACCCACAGTACTTTCAGTAGACTACAAAGCACTGAACAAAAATGACTGCCCACTGCTCCGGGTGTGTGTGTGTGTGTGTGTTTACTATTCAATGCTGTGCGTGGGCACTTGAATGGGAAAAATGCAGAGCACAAATTCCAAGCATGGGTTACCACACTTGGCCAGATGTCACATCACTTTATTATAGATACATTTGTTAATACAGTTAGGACGAAAATATATATGCAGATATGCAGTGTTTTTCCCAGATAGGGTCTCAAAACCAGAATCCGCAGGAGACGTTCTTACAATATTTTTTTTGGACGAGTACAAAAGCTTTTCCATCAGTTGCCCACCAAATGTAGTTTCCAACTAATATAAGAAACTGACCCGACATCTGGGGAAGTCGTGGCCTAATGGTTAGAGAGTCGGACTCGTAACCCAAAGGTTGCGGGTTCGAGTCTCGTACCGGCAGGGATTGTAGGTGGGGGGAGTGAATGTACAGCGCTCTCTCCCACCTTCAATACCACGACTGAGGTGAGACCCTTGAGCAAGGCACCGAACCCCCAACTGCTCCCCGGGCGCCGCAGCATAAATGGCTGCCCACTGCTCCGGGTGTGTGTTCACGGCTGTGTGTGTGCACTTTGGATGGGTTAAATGCAGAGCACTAATTCCAAGTATGGGTCACCATACTTGGCCACATGTCATTTTCACTTTCTTACTGTTCTCATAATTAGCACTTTATTTTCCACTAAATATAAGAACAGGCAACTTCCTTGAAAAACTTCCAGCCAAAAAACATAAAATATGCAACTAAAAAGCTAAATTAATAAAATGTAACTTATCCCAAAACAACATTCTTCTTGTAAGAACGTCTCCAGTGGTTGTTGGTTTTGAGCACCTGCTGATGGATGAAAACACACATTTTCACCCCTCTGACCTGCTGTGTCCTGCACTCTTCCCATCTCATTGGGCACGATGGCTCTTCGGGGGTCAAAGGGCACAGCGGGGTCGATAGGAATGCTTTTATAGCCGATACTGCTGATGATCAGACCACAGTCCACATCCTCCAGCTGACCGGTGACCTCTGCTCGCGCGCTCTCGCCCGAACCCTGATACACAACACAGAGACCACACAGACTTCACATCCGGCCCAAAACACCCTCACAAATACAGGACATTACATACAGACATGACAGAGAGAGGAAATATAGCTTCCTTAATAAAGATCAGAGTATGAGCAAAGCAATATTTCTAAGGCTGGACAATACATAGATTTATAATATTTTCATAATGATATTGATGGTAATATAAAACTAAAAAACACTGTTAATATCAAAATGTGGTTAATATTTATAAGTTTCTAAAGCCCATTTCAGCTTGTTTGTTCCACTTTCGCTTCTTGTTTTGCAATGTTTAAATGATGTAAGATAACACAAATCATTGTTTCGAGTTGGTTCATTTAAAAAAAATCGGTTTGCAAAATGCTCTGAAGTTGAGTAAATAATCTTGAAAACAATTTCCATCGAGCTCTCCATTTCAATGAACTGATGTAAAACAAGAGTATAAATAAATATACAGTGGAAAAAATTTAAAAAAAAAAATGAAATTCCATGCTTTGTAGTGGCAACCTTATGCTGTGCAACAATACTTACATTACTTATGTTAAATAATAAAAAATAAAGTAATACAAATGTTTATGGGTAATACATTCTATGTTGAATCAAATTAAATTATTCTTTTTAAAGCTACTTTTTGTAATGTCTACTTCTCATAATTTAGAGTATCCTTTGGGGGTTAATTTTTCAGTCAAAACTGATTACTTCAATTAATTAATCAACACATCATGTAAATAACTTTGTAAAACAACAACAAAAATGTGTTGTGTAATAACTGTATTGTGAAAGATGAAAGTGAATAATGTGGATGAATCACTCACATTAAGACTACAAACTTGTATTAGTTGAATTCAGGAATAAATACACGTAACATATGTATCCAATTAGCCCTGCAGTAATCATTTCTGTACAATTAGCAAAACACTTTCCTAAACCACAGACTTTCACACCAAACAGAAAGCTGGTTTGTTATCAAGCACAAGTGATCACAGTTCTGGCAGACTGTACATCTGATAACATCATCATGCTTCTCTCAGGACTTTCCAGATTTAAGACGGAGACAAAAATGCAGTCTTGTTGTGCAGTGATCTCTAAAAACCACAATGAACTCCAAAAACATTAGGGCTCAGATTACAAAAACAACTGTGTGTGGCAGAGCCAGTCCTGCTGGTTCAACTCATCGTTTAAATCACATTCATTATGATCACATTTAATAATGTGTTTCAGAAATATATATACATCCAAACAGGTTTATTGGTTAGAGATTTATTTAGGTTTACATAAAATGCCTTTCGCAATCAATTTATGCAAATCAGAAACAGAATATGGCACCAATTATATTTTTCCATCTGGAATATTTGTTTTGATATAATGTGGATGAATTGCTCACATTAAGACCACAAACTTTCATGACCCTTGATCTCTCTATGTATAATCTTAACAAATGTCTAGAGAACTAACTTATTCGTCGTGGTCCTAATTCTGTCTTGCATGTTTACCTCTCGATCTTACAGTAATATTGTGAAATATTTATTATATAATATTTAAAATAACTGTTTTCTGTGTGAATATATATTGTAAAATGTAATTTATTCCTGTGTTCAAAGCTGGATTTTCAGCATCATTACACCAGTCTAGTGTCACATGATCTTCAGAAATCATTCTGATTTGCTGCTCAAGATTTTTTTTTTCAAGATTCTTTGATAAAGTTTGAAGAACAGCCTTTATTTGAAATAGCAATATTTTGTAACATTATAAATGTCTTATGTACTTTTTGATCAATTTAATGCATCCTTGCTGAATAAGAGTATCAATTTCCTTAAAAAAAAGTTTACTGACTCTTTTGAACTTTTGAATATGTATACTGTGAAAAAGTTCAGATAAAATTAAGATACGATTTTTGATCTTTAAAAAAAAAAGATCAATCATTGTCAATTTCAGTTTACTTTTATGAATAAATAAACTTCACATATAAATCCAATTAACCATGTAATAATCATTTCCATATAGTTAACTTAGCAAACCAATGGAAATCATGGGCTGCGTCCAAAATCCCATGCTCTCTTGAGTAGGTACTTTTTTTGAAGAAGTAATTACTTCACGACCACAAAAAGAGTCCGTTCTATATAGTATGAATGTAATCTGGACGTACTACATTCGCAATGTTGTCATTTTCACATGACCTACCAGTGTCAGTTGGGTTGCATCCCTGCCATTCATTAAATCCTCTCCTGTGGCCTCATGGGATAGTAAAGTTTTCATCTTATGCACACTTAAGAATCACTCTGGAAGTAGGTCATCCAGGTACTTTTTCCCTGAATTGTGACACACTTATTTTGTCTCATACTGTTTTTCGCCTACTATATAGTAGGGAAGTATTTGATTTCGGATGTAGCCATGGTTCTTATTCTGTTTTGCACGTTTACCTCAAGCTTATTAAGAGCCAATCGGATTCCAGTAGCTCTTTTCCCATCAGCCCCCGCGAGAACCTCCACAGGACTGCGAAAGAAGCGAAAGCCGCAGCATTTCTCAGCTTTATCATCTCCTCCTTCCTTTACGGCTTTCATCATTAACTCTGTCAGTCTTTTTCTTGGCCTGGGAAGGTCTAATGAACACACACACACACACACACACACACATACACATACACATACACGTACACACACACACACAGTTGTGGAGTTGATTGCCATATCAGCTTCAAAGGCATCTTAACACCAGATACTGGAAATTGTTTCACACTGTTCCCTTAAAAGCAGTCAATGTGACTTATTAAATTTCATTATATTAAACATTGCAAGGCTTTTATAGTAGTTTTATGCTTTTATTTCTGGAGCTCAATATCATTCCCTATATGTACAGAGCAGTGTTAACCTCTTAATTTCCTCTTAGGTTTAACTGATGAAAGTCAGGGGTTTGGATTGACATGAGGGTTATTACTATGTGAATAAACCCTTTGATTTGAATGTTTTTACCTTTCAAAGCTTCTGCGATGCCCTCAAAGTCAGCGGGCAGCATGTCAGCCCTGGTGTTTGGCAGATTGACCATCTCTCTGAGTTCCTGAAGAGATAAACAAAAATAAACAGTCCTGTTCCCGCACACATTCATTTCGAAACCTTTCACTTGCAAAGTAAATAAACTATAATTATATATTAGAGCTCATGAGGGTTTTTCCATTATGCAATACACTGTTTTCTTCCCATGCATTCGATCAACAGGTCCTTCCGCTTTATTTTCCAAATTCATAGCTGTCACTCAAATGGTTTTTATTCACTTCGAGGGAGTGAAGCAAGAGAGTCATACCTTGATGGTACAAGCGATTTGAAGAGGTCCTCGTCGTCCTACGATCAAAACCCTTCGCACTTTACTGCCTGCCAATGCTTCTAGTGCATTCTGGGTAATATCGGTTTCCTGTAAGCAGGCAATAGAGGAGATAGCAAACTAAAATGATCAGGAATCAAGACAGGAAAGGGTGGTTTACTGAGGAAAAAGCACTTTCCTGAGTCATTACAGAAATTTAAATGATGTTATCAGCTCACTTGCAAGAAACAGTTCACCCAGTAATGAAAATTTGCTGGAAATATACTCACCCTCAGGCCATCCAAGATGCAGATGAGTTTGTTTCTTCATCAGATTTGGAGAAATTTAGCGTTACATCACTTGCTCAGCAATGGATCCTCTGCAGTGAATGGGTGCCGTCAGAATGAGAGTCCAAACAGCTGATAAAAACATCACAATAATCCACAAGTAATCCACACCACTCCAGTCCATCAATTAATGTCTTGTGAAATGAAAAGCTGAAAATCTATCAATGAGATGTTTTGAACTTCAAACCATCGCTTCCGGCTAAAATATGAGTCTTCAATCCATAATATTACTTCCTCCAGAGAAAGGGTCATCTTGTTTGAATCAGGAGAGAAATCTGCACAGATCAAGCACCGTTTGCAAGCCAAAACAGTCCAGTAATGGATGAAGCATTATTATGGACTATTATGGACTATCCATACAATGGATTTTGGCCAGAAGCAACAGTTTGAAGTTAAAAATGTCTTGATAGATTTGTTTTTTTACAAACGCGCAGCTTTTGGCTTCTCAAGATTTTCACTGATGGACTGGAGTGGTGTGGATTACTTGTGGATTACTGTGATGTTTTTATCAGCTGTTTGGACTCTCATTCTGACGGCACCCATTCACTGCAGAGCATCCATTGCTGAGACACTGATGCAACAGTACATTTCTCCAAATCTGATGAAGAAACAAACTCATCTACATCTTGGATGGCCTGAGGGTGAGTATATTTCCAGCTAATTTTCAGTTTTGGGTGAACTATTCCTGTCTGCAGGGAATTTTCAACATTATCTATGAATTTATTAACATAAAACTCTTCTCTGAACATGTATTGTTAACCATATGTGAGCCTTGTCTTGTGAGTCTTAAATAAACAAAGTAACGATTATTGATTCATTCAATAATTTAACATTGAGTTAAACACGGTGAAACTTGTAATTCAGCGAGTCAATATAGTAAAAGTGAGTCCTTCAAGTCAATCCATTAACACGTGGGATTAAGATTGATTCATGAGTCTTTAAAACAAGTTCATTAAACTGAGCTGGTTCATAAGAGTCAAGATTCATGACTCACACTATACTGGTCATATTATTTTTGCAGCACTTGGAGTCTTTCTCCATCACATTTGATTCAGACTACAAACGTTTGATACAATTCCTTCATTTAGCCATATAGATTCACTAGCAATGCCGAGTGTTTTAGAAAAGATCGACATCCACATCCACCAAAGAAGAAGATATTCAGAAGATACTCAAGTTTCATTAATGGAAGTGAAGTAATAACTTGTGATTCGGTAAGTCAATATAGTGAGTTAGTGAGTCATTTGACTGATTCAAACCATTAACAGTGGATTTGAGATTGATCCATGAGTTAAATCATTCCCTAAACTACTTCAAACCGATTACCATCTGGTACTTTTGCATATATGTGACCCTGGAGCACAAAAGCAGTCTTAAGTCGCTGGGGTATATTTGTAGCAATAGCCAAAAAAACATTGTATGGGTCAAAATGATCGATTTTTCTTTTATGCCAAAAATCATTAGGATATTAAGTAAAGATCATGTTCCATGAAGATATTTTGTAAATTTCCTACTGTAAATATATCAAAACTTCATTTTTGATTAGTAATATGCATTGCTAAGATCTCCATCTGGACAACTTTAAAGGAGATTTTCTCAATATTTTGACTTTTTTGCACCCTCAGATTCCATATTTTCATATTTTCAAATATTGTCCTATCATAACAAACCATACATCAATGGAAAGCTTATTTATTCAGCTTTCAGATGATGTATAAATCTCAATTTCGAGATTTTTTTTGACTGGTTTTGTGGTCCAGGGTCACATATCATAAGTCTCTCTAATATAGATAAAATAAACACAGTGGGCTCAGACCTTCAGCATTTCTACAGGTGCCAGAAGTATTCGGGCAACATCCAGGGCCACATTTCCCTGTCCTAGAATCACAGCCGTCTCAAAGCTGAGATCTGGATGCAGCTGCAGATCAAAGGAAATAACAGAGGGTTGTTTAGGGGTTATTAAACACCAAAACGTCTGAAGGGATTCAAAAGAAATGGCACCTCCTTATTACTGGGCAGTCCGTTGTACCATCCGACAAAGTCTTTAGCTGAGAAAACGCCAGGTAAATCTTCACCTGGAATTCCCATTGACCGATTTCCTTCGGCTCCGTAACTCTGGAAAAACACATGGTGCAGAGGAGGATGACTATAGGAACAGTCATTCTGCAAAATTAAATTAAATGATATGGCATGCAGTGATTTAGAGAAGACACCTACTAAAATGTGGTTCAGTGTAAAAACTGTGTAAAAAAAAAAGACATCTTGTCTTTGAATCACATATATCTTCATTGTGTGCAAAAATAGTTCTGAGACTGTTCTTTGGTGTTCTACTGAAGTGGGAAAGTCATATGACTTTGGAGTAACACGAGCATGATTAAATTATCATGCATTTTATTTTTGTGTGAAATAATTCAAAGAAATCATGCAATATACACTTTCACATCAGTTAACGTATATTCATGGTCAGTAAACTCCTTCAGTTTACTTTTAACTGCTGTAGATGTGCATCAAACCATGTGGGTCGTCATGTGATCAAATGTAAACCTTGAATGCAACATAAGCCACTTTGGATAAAAGCACCTGCTAAGTGGATCAAAGTAAATATTAGTATAAATGCTCTGACTCGTACAAATGCCACCTCTGACAAAAAAATACAAAAACAAAAAAAACACATATAGCCTACCCGACATCATCTTCAGTTGCATTTTTATTCAGAAATATTATAAGAGTAAAAGAAATGTTTTCACTGAAGATGCAAGAGATTTGCCATACACTAATCTTGCTTTTAGAAGATTGTTATCTTCCGGGATTTTATTTTACTGACATCAGGCAAAAAACAACAATCAAAGTCTTACACTAAAAAAAAAAAAGACTGATGTGAAAAAAAAAAGACATACAAAGCAGTGTACAAAAGTTTTTATGCCTGCTTATATGTTTTCATTTTCACAAATGCTCAAAGTTGGATATACACTACTGTTTAAAAGTTTAAGGTCCGTCTCTTATGCTCATCAAGGCTCCATTTATTACTGTAAAAACAGTAATATTATGAAATATTATTACAATTTAAAATAATTGTTTTCTATTTTATTGAATTTTAAAATGAAATTTATTCCTGTGATGCAAAGCTAAATTTATTACACATTCATCTATCTAGTTTTAGTTTACTGTACTTTTTTGTCCTTTTTGCATCATGTGAGAATTTGTATTGTGTGTAACATGAGCAAATTATCCAGAATTGTATTTATTGTGTAAAATAATTCAAAGAAATAATGTAATATATGCTTTCACAGCAGGTAACATATAAAAAAGGCCTCTAACACTAGCTTGCTCTATTCTTTCGGTTTTCTTTTTATTTATTATACAATTAAAAAAAAAAACCTTGCTATGTGTACTGCGTTAAGCTAACTGAGACTTGTTATAGCACTTTTATATTATTGCTCTTTTGTTGATTTTGATTGCTTCTATTGTCCTCATTTGTAATTCTCTTTGGATAAAAGCATCTGCTAAATGACTAAATGAAAATGTAATGTAAATATAAAACAGGAAAGGCTGGCAGTATTTACAAAGTATATACCAAGCCTGCATTTATTTGATCCAAACTACAGCAAAAACAGTAACATTTTTGAAAGATTTTTACTATTTAAAATAACTGTTTTTTCTATTTTTTGAATGCATTTTAAAATGTATTTTATTTCTGTGATCAAAGCTGAATTTTCAGCATCATTACTCCAGCCTTCAGTGTCACATGATCTTCAGAAATCATTCACTTTTCAATCACTTTTTATCAATTTAAAGCATCCTTGCTAAATTTCTTTTCCAAAAAAAAATAAATAATTATACTTACTTCAAGCTTTTGAATGGTATAGTGTATAATGCTACAAAAGCTTTTTATTTCAGATAAATAAATTAAGATAAATATTCAGATAAAGAAAATTCAGATAAATAAATCTTTGGATCTTTCTATTCATCAAAGAATCCTGAAAACATTTACTCTACTGTTTTAAATTTTGATAATAATAATAATAATGTTTCTTGAACAGCAAATCTGCATATTAGAATTTCCAAATTAGAAATTTTTGTTTTTGCCATTAATTGTAATAATTCAGTGAGATTTCACAGAGATCTGATCTGATCAGCATCAGTCTGTCTGGAATGACGTGAAGAAACAGAGCAAACTGAGACAGACTCAATCCAGAAGAACTGTGACAACGTCTCCAAGATGCTTCAAGAACCCTCCTGCAAAGCTACAGTACTGTTCAAAGTTTTAGGCACTTGTGTAAAAATAGTAAGTAATCATTTATTTATATAGCACCTTTCAAAACAAAGTGCTTTACAATAAAAAAGATCAATACAGCAACAAAATACAAAAATACCATCAAAATTAAGAAGAAGCCATACAATAAAAATGAGTCTTAAAAGAGGATACAGTAAATGCTGTAAAATGAGGATGCTGTCAAAAATTATGTCATGAATAGATTTGCTTTATCAATTAACTTCTATTAACTCAATTAAATCAACATTTGGTGTGAGCATCCTTTGCGTTTAAAGCAGCTTTTGCCTTCGGTGCACTTGAGCAGAGTTTCTCAGGAAGCTTTGCAGGAGGTTTCTTGAAGCATCTTGGAGACGTTGCCACAGTTCTTCTGGATTGAGTCTGTCTCAGTTTGTTCTGTTTCTTCATGTCATTCCAGACAGACTGGCAAACTGAGACAGACTCAATCCAGAAGAACTGTGACAACGTCTCCAAGATGCTTCAAGAACCCTCCTGCAAAGCTACAGTACTGTTCAAAGTTTTAGGCACTTGTGTAAAAATAGTAAGTAATCATTTATTTATATAGCACCTTTCAAAACAAAGTGCTTTACAATAAAAAAGATCAATACAGCAACAAAATACAAAAATACCATCAAAATTAAGAAGAAGCCATACAATAAAAATGAGTCTTAAAAGAGGATACAGTAAATGCTGTAAAATGAGGATGCTGTCAAAAATTATGTCATGAATAGATTTGCTTTATCAATTAACTTCTATTAACTCAATTAAATCAACATTTGGTGTGAGCATCCTTTGCGTTTAAAGCAGCTTTTGCCTTCGGTGCACTTGAGCAGAGTTTCTCAGGAAGCTTTGCAGGAGGTTTCTTTGAGCATCTTGGAGACGTTGCCACAGTTCTTCTGGATTGAGTCTGTCTCAGTTTGTTCTGTTTCTTCATGTCATTCCAGACAGACTGATTAATGTACACACAGCACCCCATATTGACAGAAAAACACAGAATTGTTGACATTTTTGCAGATTTATTAAAAAAGAAAAACTGAAATATCACATGGTCCTAAGTATTCAGACCCTTTGCTCAGTATTTAGTAGAAGCACCCTTTTGATCTAATACAGCCATGAGTCTTTTTGGGAAAGATGCAACAAGTTTTTCACACCTGGATTTGGGGATCCTCTGCCATTCCTCCTTGCAGATCCTCTCCAGTTCTGTCAGGTTGGATGGTAAACGTTGGTGGACAGCCATTTTTAGGTCTCTCCAGAGATGCTCAATTGGGTTTAAGTCAGGGCTCTGGCTGGGCCATTCAAGAACAGTCACAGAGTTGTTGTGAAGCCACTCCTTCGTTATTTTAGCTGTGTGCTTAGGGTCATTGTCTTGTTGGAAGGTAAACCTTCGGCCCTGTCTGAGGTCCTGAGCACTCTGGAGAAGGTTTTCGTCCAGGATATCCCTGTACTTGGCTGCATTCATCTTTCCCTCGATTGCAACCAGTCGTCCTGTCCCTGCAGCTGAAAAACACCCCCACAGCATGATGCTGCCACCACCATGCTTCACTGTTGGGACTGTATTGGACAGGTGATGAGCAGTGCCTGGTTTTCTCCACACATACCGCTTAGAATTAAGGCCAAAATGTTCTATCTTGGTCTCATCAGACCAGAGGATCTTATTTCTCACCATCTTGGAGTCCTTCGGGTGTTTTTTAGCAAACTCCATGCGGGTTTTCATGTGTCTTGCACTGAGGAGAGGCTTCCGTCGGGCTGCAGTGATGGTTGACTTTCTACAACTTTCTCCCATCTCCCGACTGCATCTCTGGAGCTCAGCCACAGTGATCTTTGGGTTCTTCTTTACCTCTCTCACCAAGGCTCTTCTCCCCCGATAGCTCAGTTTGGCCAGACGGCCAGCTCTGGGAAGGGTTCTGGTCGTCCCAAACGTCTTCCATTTAAGGGTTATGGAGGCCACTGTGCTCTTAGGAACCTTAAGTGCAGCAGAATTTTTTTTGTAACCTTGGCCAGATCTGTGCCTTGCCACGATTCTGTCTCTGAGCTCTTCAGGCAGTTCCTTTGACCTCATGATTCTCATTTGCTCTGACATGCACTGTGAGCTGTAAGGTCTTATATAGACAGGTGTGTGGCTTTCCTAATCAGGTCCAATCAGTATAATCAAACACAGTTGGACTCAAATGAAGGTGTAGAACCATCTCAAGGATGATCAGAAGAGATGGACAGCACCTGAGTTAAATATATGAGTGTCGCAGCAAAGGGTCTGAATACTTAGGACTATGTGATATTTCAGTTTTTCTTTTTTAATAAATCTGCAAAAATGTCAACAATTCTGTGTTTTTCTGTCAATATGGGGTGCTGTGTGTACATTAATGAGGAAAAAAAATTAACTTAAATGATTTTAGCAAATGGCTGCAATATAACAAAGAGTGAAAAATTTAAGGGGGTCTGAATACTTTCCGTACCCACTGTATATATATATAATGTGTATATGTATATTCATATATGTATATATATTTATATATATATATGTGTGTGTGTGTGTATATATATATATATATATATATATATTAGTTAGCTTAGTTAATTTTATACATGCATTATATATCTATGTATGTGTGTGTATAAAATTAACATTATATGCATTATAAAATAAATGTAAAAAATTTCCGTTTGTTTGTTTACAAGTACGTTGTATACAGTGGGTACGGAAAGTATTCAGACCCCCTTAAATTTTTCACTTTTTGTTATATTGCAGCCATTTGCTAAAATCATTTGTTAATTTTTTTTCCTCATTAATGTACACATAGCACCCCATATTGACAGAAAAACACAGATTTGTTGACATTTTTGCAGATTTATTCAAAAAGAAAAACTGAAATATCACATGGTCTTAAGTATTCAGACCCTTTGCTGTGACACTCATATATTTAACTCAGGTGCTGTCCATTTCTTCTGATCATCCTTGAGATGGTTCTACACCTTCATTTGAGTCCAGCTGTGTTTGATTATACTGATTGGACTTGATTAGGAAAGCCACACACCTGTCTATATAAGACCTTACAGCTCACAGTGCATGTCAGAGCAAATGAGAATCATGAGGTCAAAGGAATTGCCTGAAGAGCTCAGAGACAGAATTGTGGCAAGGCACAGATCTGGCCAAGGTTACAGAAAAATTTCTGCTGCACTTAAGGTTCCTAAGAGCACGGTGGCCTCCATAATCCTTAAATGGAAGACGTTTGGGATGACCAGAACCCTTCCTAGAGCTGGCCGTCCGGCCAAACTGAGCTATCGGGGGAGAAGAGCCTTGGTGAGAGAGGTAAAGAAGAACCCAAAGATCACTGTGGCTGAGCTCCAGAGATGCAGTCGGGAGATGGGAGAAAGTTGTAGAAAGTCAACCATCACTGCAGCCCTCCACCAGTTGGGGCTTTATGGCAGAGTGGCCCGACGGAAGCCTCTCCTCAGTTCAAGACACATGAAAGCCCGCATGGAGTTTGCTAAAAAAACACCTGAAGGACTCCAAGATGGTGAGAAATAAGATTCTCTGGTCTGATGAGACCAAGATAGAACTTTTTGGCCTTAATTCTAAGCGGTATGTGTGGAGAAAACCAGGCACTGCTCATCACCTGTCCCAACAGTGAAGCATGGTGGTGGCAGCATCATGCTGTGGGGGTGTTTTTCAGCTGCAGGGACAGGACGACTGGTTGCAATCGAGGGAAAGATGAATGCGGCCAAGTACAGGGATATCCTGGGCGAAAACCTTCTCCAGAGTGCTCAGGACCTCAGACTGGAACTAAGGTTTACCTTCCAACAAGACAATGACCCTAAGCACACAGCTAAAATAACGAAGGAGTGGCTTCACAACAACTCTGTGACTGTTCTTGAATGGCCCGGCCAGAGCCCTGACTTAAACCCAATTGAGCATCTCTGGAGAGACCTAAAAATGGCTGTCCACCAACGTTTACCGTCCAACCTGACAGAACTGGAGAGGATTTGCAAGGAGGAATGGCAGAGGATCCCCAATTCCAGGTGTGAAAAACTTGTTGCATTTTTCCCAAAAAGACTCATGGCTGTATTAGATCAAAGGGGTGCTTCTACTAAATACTGAGCATTTTTCAGTTTTTCTTTTTTAATAAATCTGCAAAGATGTCAACAATTCTGTGTTTTTCTGTCAATATGGGGTGCTGTGTGTACATTAATGAGGAAAAAAAATTAACTTAAATGATTTTAGCAAATGGCTGCAATATAACAAAGAGTGAAAAATTTAAGGGGGTCTGAATACTTTCCGTACCCACTGTATATATAAAGATTTATTATTTATTGCCATTGTCAATTTTTACTATGCAAAACTGGCACTTGGTGAATGATTAATCTGGATTGTTGTGTTGTGGTTTGTATCCTCACCAGCACTACAGCGTGGTAAGCTTGTCGTAACTCGTCAATCGTCACATCTTTACCCACATTCACATTGCCATGGAAGCTGCATCGTTCATGCTGGGCCGTCTGAGTAAAAGTGTTAATGACATTCTGGAAGATTAAAATGAGGAATAAAAAAAAAAACATGTATTATTTTACTAGCACATATTTACAATAGTGATTTATGCATAGGAAAAATAAAGCTTAAACATGCTTAAGTTTAACGATATCTAATAGTGCAATGGCTTGTTTGTTATCAAGACTGATGCTCGTGATGCTTATAAGTGATTGTGACATGTGGCCAAGTATGGTGACCCATACTCGGAACTAGTGCTCTGCATTTATCCCATCCAAAGTGCACACACACACCGTGAACACACACCCGGAGCAGTGGGCAGCCATTTATGCTGCGGCGCCCGGGGAGCAGTTGGGGGTTCGGTGCCTTGCTCAAGGGCACCTCAGTCGTGGTATTGAAGGTGGGAGAGAGCGCTGTACATTCACTCCCCCCACCTACAATCCCTGCCGGACCTGAGACTCTCTAACCATTAGGCCACGACTTCCCCTAGACTAGTTTTCTAAAAAAAACTTCTTTTTTTTTTAATGTTGGTGGGACAAAAAGCAATACACATCTGGCATGGCATGAGGGTAAGTAAATGAAGTGTTCTTTATATTTTGTGTTATCATGGTGTAATTTAATTATAACTTACCTGTCTTTCTGTGAAAAGTGATGGCCATCTTTGGAGAGTCTCTTTTACTGGAGGCTCCTTCTCTACAATCTCTTTTCTTCTCAAGGAGAAAGTGGAATCCATGTGCTGTGATATCAAGGTGGAACTTGGATGACTTTTCTTCATTTCCTCCACAAGTTGTAAGCGTTTAGATTCCATGCTGCAGTCATCCTCACCAGCAGGACAATTGGGAAGAAAATTGATTTCAAATAGTTTAGGCCTTTTAACACTTCTCACAGGATCTTGGCTTCCCCTTTTTCCTGCATTTATAAGAACATCTGTGCATCCAGCTCGACATAGCTTCGTTCTGTAGTTCTCGCATGCATGCGGGAACATCTGAAGGATCTGTACTGACATAGTCACAACATACTGTAAATCAGACATGAACAAACATTCATGTTGTCCTGGCAGTAATCAAGCACTGTACGTCATTCACTTTCAAGTCTCATTTTTACTGATGTTTGTTTTTCTGTTTCCTACATGAGGTCATTACTGATTGAACCACTCAAGCGCTCTTGTACTACACAAATAGATGAAATGAGTGCATGCTATCATTTCCCCTAATAGTTTTTAAAGCTAAAGTCATATCTATACATTGCCACTAAATGGCATAGTTCAAACAGATAGTCCTTATGTTAATAATGAGTGAATATATATTACAATAAGGGTGATAAGAAGGTATTATAACATCAAATCAGCTCGAGTCATCATGAAACAGTGTTTGTAAATTACATGCAGCAAATAACAATAAATGCAGCATATTAAACCACATGCATTTTTAATAAAACACTAAGTTCTAATACATGACAACATTTTATGACAGTGCTCGTTCAAAGAGGAGGAAATAAATCAATTTAGCAGTTCAGTTTTGGCCAGGCCCGGCGCCAGAGGGGGGCGTGTTACAGTGTGTTACAGGCTTTGCCCCCCACGGACATCCCTGTGCCCCCCCCTCCGGACCGAGGGGGACGGCCGGACTTTAGTTTCGCGTGTATAATAGTCTAACTCGTAGTGTAAAATAGTCTAACTGATTGCCTTTAGATGGAAAAGCTGCCCATAACTCCTGGTCTAGGATCTGTTTTCTTCGTAATAATAGCATAACGATATAGATTTGGCAAACAAACCAGTGTATCTGCCCTTCTGTTTTGGAAAGCGTCAAATGATTTTACAATGCATTTTCGCAGAGG